GTATCCAATCTTGTGAAAAAGTGGCATGCTATTTCATTCTGCAGAGCTTCAGTGCTGTGAGGATTATTCTTGTAGACTTTCCCTGTAGGTTTCCCCAAAGATAAAAATCGCAAAAACTGAGATCTGGGAAGCCAGTCCTTTGATGATTATTCTGTCTTCAAACACATCCCGTATCGTGACCATGGTTGCATCTGCCATATATGCTGTAGCATTGTCTTGCTGAAAATACCCATATTGTCTTTCTTCAGCAGTCAGCTGACTGAAGAATGGATTCAGTATATCATTAATGTAGCAGTCAGAGTTCGCGGTTTCATGGAAAAATAAAGTGCCAATGATTTGCCGCAGACTTACAGCACACTACACCCCCACCTTTTCACTGTGTAATGGCACTTACCGTATAGCGTGAGGATTTTCATCGCTCCATATTCTTGCATTTTGTGCATTGACATGGCCACTAACGTGAAACCACGCTTCATCAGTCATGTACAGAAGATGTGGATCCACAATTACATCATGAACATTTTGCAGCAGCCAGTTGCAAAAACGAATTCTTGATGTATAATCTGATGGCCTCAGCTCATGTACAATTGTTATTCTATACAGCCAAAATTTGATTAATTTTGTGGTTGTGAAAGCAGATCCTAGCGAAACACCAGTTTCCTGTGCTAAACATCTTAACAATTTTCAAGGACTGATTTGTAGTCATGCCTCAATATCCCAAATCACTTCTTCAGTCAGCACAATCCTCTTCAATTGCTCCTTTATATCACACACTGAACCTGCGGCCCACAACTTTTTCACAATCTTGGATACACATGACTTTGTGGGAACTGGCGAGTCAGGATATTTACAACAAAACTTATGGATACATTTTCTGTAAGTTTTTCCTTGCAAAAGTTTTGACAATGAACACACGCTGTTCAACAGTGACCTTCATTTTAGTATAAATGTTGACCGCCTACCAACACCTCTAACAAAGACTGACTATTAATTTGACTCACAGCAGCAACAAAATCACATCTCCTGACAGCACTCGTTTATCAGCACTAATGACTCATTCTGCTATCAGCAGTTACAGCAGCACTGTGGGAGAAATGTTCTTTCCGCTGCATGTTGTTGCCAGGTTTCCTCAAGCGTTGAATACATTATATTAACTATCATGCCATTTTAAGTGCAAATGAATATGCATGATCACAAGGCTCTGTCTCTTCTGTATCCATGTTTCATCACCAAAACAAGAGAGTGGATTTCAGGTAAATATAATATTTGGGCTCTACACAATAAGTGTATTTAATTGTGTTTCATACTGTGTACTTCAACACCTATTACACATGAACTTTTCACAAAAAAAAAGTTCATCATGAAGAACAGGTACTTTCATTACAATGTACGTGGTGTGTTCAAAACGTATCGAACCTCCCTTTTTCCCGCATAAACCAATGAAGCGCAGGAGGCTCCCTTCGGTGGAGATGTGGAGGGGACATTCATGCACAGTCAGTCGCTGGCAATCGGCCTATGACTGAGGATGTGTAGTGAGCGCTCGTTGGATTCCAGAAAGGTGTAAAATGACGGAACAACATGAGCAGTGATATTTATCAAATTTTGCCAAAAGCTTGGCGATACTCAAGTGGAAACCATTCGCAAGATTCAACAGGCTTTCGGGGACGATGCCATGAGCAACTCACAAATAAAGGAGTGGTACAACGCTTCAAACATGGCCGCACATCAGTGGACAGCGAACCGCGTTCAGGCAGACTCTCAACAAGTCGAAATGAGAATGTCATTGAGCAAGTGCAGACTTTGGTCATGGAGGACCATCGTATCATAGGCCGAGAACTTGCGAATGAGGTAGGGGTAAGCAGTGGATCGGTACATTCAATTTTGACTGAGGATTTGGGCATGAGGAGAGTGTCCGTGAAATTCGTACCGAAACTGCTAACAATGGAGCAGAAGCAATGCCATCTGGAAATCGCACAGGACATGCTGGACAATGCAAACAGTAACCCCAACTTTGTGAACACTGTG